AATTTTATATCCTGAAGCACCAGCTTTCTGGAACTCACTGCATTTTACAAAGTTGCTTCCCAGCTCCATTCAAGATGTTGGTTAACATTTTCAAAGCCCTTAATTACCTGCATAACACAGGGGAGTGTCTACCTTGTATATTCTTGCCCATTCATTAAGGTCACCTGAAGAGACCTTGCTCTGCATGCTCTCTATTAGTATGCTAAGGAATGAAAGAGCTGAAACTGAGGCCTTGTTTGTGGTGCTGCCCACTTTATGGAAGCTTTCATGCAGGGGATTTAGTTGACACATTCAGGCTATAGTTTCCAATATACCTTAAATATGTTTCTGTTTTTCAAGGTATTTTCTTCCTTAGTAGAAGGTATCAGCCAAAACGTGTCAATTTCAGCTAATCATTCAAAACGCTGCTAGGATTTGGACCAGACACTGGATAATTCACATTAAAAACAAAAAATCATCATACAGCTGCATTCTGCTAAAACTGCTGACTATGTTCCTGTTCAACACCTGGCTTTCCTCAAGAATAGCAGCAATATTCCTACCAAGTGCCTGGGTATGCAATGCTACTGAAAGTCACCTGTGCAGTTAATATCAAAGGCCAAGACTACTCCCATATGACACATTTGGCACACAGCCAATGATATCTCACCGTATTATTATTTTGTGGGCATCCTGCCATTTACGATAAATTTGTAGACAACACACAGGATGTCATGATAGGAGAGACATGTATATTTCCCCCCCATAGTCTTAAATTCCATAAACCTTATAATCAGTTAATGGCATTTCCTCCTCAGAAGATCTCCACCAGAAATGTCATAAGAACATAAGAGATGCCAATGTTGGATCAGGCCAAAGGCCCATCCAGTCCAACACTCTGCATCACACAGTGGCCAAAAATATCAGGTGCCATCAGGAGGTCCACCAGTGGGGCCAGGACGTTAGAAGCCCTCCCACTGTTGACCCCCCCAAGCACCAAGATGACAGAGCATCACTTGCCCCAGAGTCCCTACCTTGTGGCTAATAGCCACTGATGGACCTCTGCTCCATATGTTTATCTAAATTCCCATTTGAAGCCGTCCATGCTTGTAGCCACCACCACTTCCTGTGGCAGTGAATTCCATGTGTTAATCACTCTTTGGGTGAAGAAGTACTTCCTTTTATCCGTTCTAACCCGACCGCTCAGCAGTTTCATGGAGTGCCCACGAGTTCTTGTATTGTGAGAAAGGGAGAAAAGTACCTCTTTCTCTACCTGCTCTATCCCATGCATAATCTTATAAACCTCAATCATGTCTCCCCTCAGTCGTTTCTCCAAGCTAAAGAGCCGTAAGCGCTTTAACCTTTCCTCATAGGGAAAGTGTTCCAACCCTTTTATCATTCGAGTTACCCTTTTCTAAGCTAAAGAGCCCTAAGCGCCTTAACCGTTCCTCATAGGGAAAGTGTTCCAACCCTTTTATCATTCGAGTTGCTCTTTTCTGCACTTTTTCCAAAGCTATAATATCCTTTTTAAGGTGTGGTGACCAGAATTGCACACAGTATTCCAGATGAGGTCGCACCATTGATTTATATAGCGGCATTATGATATTGGCTGATCTGTTTACAATACCCTTCCTAATAATCCCCAGCATAGCATTGGCCTTCTTTATTGCAGTCACACACTGTCTCGACATTTTCAGTGAGTTATCTACTACAACTCCAAGATCTCTCTCTTGATCTGTCTCTGCCAGTTCAGACCCCATCAACGTGTATTTATAGTTAGGATTTTTGGCTCCAATGTGCATCACCTTGCACTTGGCCACATTGAACCCCATTTGCCATGTTGACGCCCACTCGCCCAACTTTGACAGATCCCTTTGGAGTGCCTCACAATCCTCACTGGTTTTCACCACCCTGAACAACTTCGTATCATCCGCAAATTTAGCCACTTCACTGCTTACTCCCAACTCCAAATCATTAATGAACAAGTTAAAAAGCAGTGGACCAAGTACTGATCCCTGTGGTACCCCACTGCTTACACCCCTCCACTGGGAGAACTGCCCATTTATACTCACTCTCTGTTTTCTATTAATTAGCCAGTTTTTGATCCATAAAAGGACTTGTCCTTTTATCCCATGATTTTTGAGCTTGCTTAGGAGCCTTTGATGAGGAACTTTATCAAAAGCTTTCTGGAAGTCAAGGTAAACAATATCTATTGGATCCCCCTTGTCCACATGTTTGTTCACCCCCTCAAAGAACATTAACAGGTTAGTGAGACAAGATCTTCCCTTACAGAACCCATGTTGAGTCTGCCTCAATAGGTTTTGTTCATCTATGTGCCTACTAATTCTTTCCTTAATAATGGTTTCCACCAATTTACCCGGTATCGACGTCAGACTGACAGGCCTGTAATTTCCCGGATCTCCTCTGGAACCCTTTTTAAAGATGGGAGTGACATTAGCTACCTTCCAGTCCTCAGGAATGGAGGCTGATTTTAAGGAGAGATTACATATTTTTGTCAGGAGATCCACAAGTTCACAATTGAGTTCTTTCAGAACTCTTGGATGTATGCCATCTGGGCCTGGTGATTTATCAGTTTTTAAGTTGTTTATCAGTTTTAGGACCTCCTCTCTCGTCACCTCAATCTGACTCAGGTCTTTCAACACCCCTCCCGAACTCAGCGGCTCTGGAGTGGGCAAGCACCTCTCATCTTCCACAGTGAAGACGGAGGCAAAAAATGCATTTAGCTTCTCAGCCATTTCCCTATCATCCTTCAGTACTCCTTTTACCCCTTGGTCATCCAAGGGCCCCACTGCCTCCCTGGCTGGTTTCCTGTTTCTAATGTATTTGAAGAAAGTTTTATTGTTGGTCTTTACATTTTTTGCTATATGCTCCTCATATTCCCTTTTTGCATGCCTGACCACAGACTTGCATTTTATTTGCCATAGCCTGTGTTCTGTTTTATCAGCCTCACTGTGACTAGCTTTCCACCGCTTAAAGGAATCCTTTTTACCTTTTACAGCTTCCATTACTTTGTTTGTTAACCATGTAGGCTTTTTCTTATACCTGTTTGTGCCTTTCCTAACCTGCGGAATATATTTTATTTGAGCTTCTAGAATTGTAGTTTTAAACAGTTTCCAAGCTTCCCCAATGGTTTTGACCCTTTCTACTTTTCCCTTCAGTTTCCTCCCCACATGTCCCCTCATATCAGAGAAGTTACCCCTTTTAAAGTTAAAAGTGGTTGTGTGAGTCTTTTTGGCCAATTCCCTATTTGTACAAATGTTGAACTCAACAACATTATGATCACTGTTCCCAAGTGGTGCAATCACTTTTACATCTCTCACCAGGTCTTGAGTGTTACTTAGGACCAAATCAAGGATCGCCTCTCCCCTGGTAGGTTCCATGACCATCTGCTCCATAGCACAGTCATTTAGAGTGTCTAGAAACTCAATCTCTTTCTCTCGACTAGAACACATATTGACCCAATCAATGTGTGGGTAGTTAAAATCACCTATTACGACACAGTGTTTTTGTCTAGCTGCTATCTTTAATTCATTCATCATTTTATAATCCTCCTCTATCTTTTGATCTGGTGGGCGATAAACTCCCAGTGTTAAGTTTCCTTTTGGCCCCCCTATTTCAACCCATAGAATTTCCAGAATTTCTGCTAACCTGGGGGAACCTCCAGATCTGCAGAAAATTTTTATTTAAAAAACAACACTCTGTTGGCAAAGAATGGTTGCCATATAGAGACTTAATTAAAAAAGAGGGAACAGAATGGACAATGAAAAAGCAGAATGAAATTGACT